CAAAAATTATAGAGAAATCCAAAGACACATAAAGATAAGAGACAAAGAGATAAGCCAAGACATTGTAAGACATGAGAACACAAGCAGGCATGCCATTAGTTATTGGGGCCATGACGCCACCACACCTGGAGCAGCCACTGGAAGACCCCACTGCATTCTTCTCAGAGAAAGAGGGATGAAGGTCAGTGGCATCTTAGCATTGTTACAAAGTTAATTCTGACCTTGTAGATCCTCTGAAAGCGTGCTGGAGTCCCCTCAGTGCCAGACCACATGGGAATGGTCAGGCGCAATGGTCAGGATGTGAACTCCAGGGCATGGAGGAAGGAAGAAGGGGCCAGGGGGCTGGGGTGCTGCCAGAGGACCTGGTCCATATACAAACTCCACAAAAGCTGCATACTCTGGTCACTCAAAACACTTTGAAAATCACCCCATGATAGGACGATGTCACTGAGTTACTTGAATAACTTTGGTATAATGAGGATGAAATGGAAAGAATGTATTTTACAAGTTCCTGTGAGTCAAAGAGGTATTCCCCAAATTCTAAGTCTGTATTCCCCAAACCACACCGGGATGTGTTACCTGAGGTCCAAGAGACACCTGCAGGGCTCACCTTCCCCTGCTTGGCCCTCTCCTCCTCTTCCTCCTGGGACCCCGCCCCCCGCTCCCACCTGTGGCTCTCTGGTTTCTTCCCTTCAAAGGGGGAAACTTTCAGTCCGGAGCCATTCCTTTTCCTTATCAATGAGTTACTGAGCGTAGCCACGCTGCCGATCCAGAGAGGTCCACGGAGCAGCCCTTAGGTTCCCGTCACCTGCCTCCTGGATATTCACTTGCTAACCAGAGTTACCTCTCATAATCCTACAAGTTTAGAGCCGAAGGGGTTGCAGAGCCATCTGCTTCAACGTCTTAGTCTACAGACAAGGACACAGATGGGAGGGGTCAAGGATTTACTCAGGTCCACGGCTGGATGTCCAGTAAGATGTGTCAGAGTTCTGTAGCCACCAAGCACAAAGGTATGCAGTCCCATCCCCCCCTCTCACTGTACATGCCTTCTGTTCATCAACAGCCCTCTGGGCAGATAGAAACCATCCACTTCTAGGTTTGTAAAATGCTTTGTGACCCAGAGAGAAGGAGCTTTACCTAAATAAACAGGTGAGTGACTATGTCTGAGAAAACGTTAGCAATATTTATGCTCTTCTAACGCACGTGGGCCTCTCGCTCCTTCTCCCAAGTTCATTCTTGTTAACCTGTGTGGAAGGGTCCTCCAATGCCTAATAGGTCAGCTGATAGGGAATCGAGAGATTTGTATAATAAGGCACTCTTGGAGGCCAAAGAATTCTCCAGACTCGCAGGAATGAAGTTATTAAAGTGGAAAATTAAACTCACTTCTGCTAAGTTTCCACTGGGCCTCCCCCAAACCCAAAACCATGCTGTGTTGGGGTGCAGGGACCAGCCAGACCTACACAGCTGACTTCCCAGAACACACTGTGTGAGCACTTCGCAGAAAAGCTCCCCCTGGTCCGCACCGTGCGGAGTGTGAGGCTGGGAGCCCGCAGGCTCTTCTGGACCAGCTAACTCTTGTCACCTGAGACCAGAGAGGCAAAGTGATGTTCTTCAGGTCACACAGCTAGTGAGTGGCCAGGCCAGAGCCTTTAGAAGCCCCTGGTCTTCCTTCTACTACTGGAGCCTGCTCCTCTGATCCCACTGCTGCTGGCAGACAGTTCAAAATTAGATGTGACCTTGGATCTCAATGGCACCAGATCAGGAACCTCTGGGGAGGTGGGTTTTGCCAGCACGGCTCTTACACAGCCCCCTCTTACACAGCCCTGTGTGACAGCCCAGGGTGTGATTTCGCTCCCCAGGGGGAGCAACCATAACCAGTCCATAATCACTGCTATAACAGGAATGGGCTTCTTGACACCTCACTGTCTAGCAAACCTACTTCTCTCATTTTTTTAAAAGATTTTATTTATTTATTAGAGACACACAGAGAGAGGCAGAGACACAGGCAGAGAGAGAAGCAGACTCCATGCAGGGAGCCTGATGGGGGACTCGATCCCATGTCCCCAGGCTTACGCCCTGGGCTGAAGGCAGTGCTACACCGCTGAGCCACCCAGACTGCCCTTACTTCTCTTTCATGCCTCAACCCAAACCTCAGGTCCACCACGAAGCCTCCTGGAACTGTCCTGCACAGTCCTCTCTCTCTCTCTCTCTCTCTCTCTCTCTCTGCTGATTACTGAACCTGATAAATTTGCACACACAACCCCTCTTGCTGTTCATTCCATGGCTATGCAATTGTCTGTCTCCCCCTACCCTTTGACATCTTGGAGTTTTTCAACCTCTGGGAGATTATTAGACTATGAGTTCCTAGGGGTCAATGCTGATCCCTCCAAATCTATATCCTCAATCCTCAGCACTCTGAACAGTATCTCATCCACAGAAGGAGTTGAGGAAATGCTGAGTGAATGTACAGTCCATCATTCTAGGCTGGTACTCTCTGGTGATGACTCCTCAAAGAAGCATCCCAATTACCTTCTCCTCTAAGATGACTACAAAGCTCAGCTATTGGCATAATCTCAGCATCGCTACAACACTTGATACCTGCTTGAAGAATAACTTTGCCAAAGGACTAGCCCAGGTGTTAGTCATAGTCATAGTCATAGTTATAGTAGTAGTAGAGCCACAATGGTCACCATATGAGGTCCTCTCCATGTTCTGGCAGGTGTTTTCACTCTGACCGCTGACCCTTATAACATTTCTGTGACCTATGTCTTATTAGCATCATTTTCCAGGTGGGAAGACTGAGGATCTGAGAGTATAATTCACAGATTCAGCATCCTGGTGGCCCTGGGATTAGATCCATTAGATCCAAACCCCAGTAACTGCTCTGTCTTTGGTTTCCAAATTTTTATTTATTTCTAAGGGTGATTCTCAAAAAACAGTCATTTAAAATCTGAACGGCCTCAGTGTACCCAATGAGCAGGTTCCTGAAGCCCTGCTGCAATCTGTGTCACATCTTATCACTGCAACAACATCAAATTCTGTCAAAATATGGAAAAAAATCATTTTGATGCTGCATTTGCATATCCAAGGATTGGAGGATGGTTTGTATAATCAAATTATGTAGAGTTGTAAAAAGGGAGCATCATTTAAATAGCTTACAAAATTACTTTGAAGATGCACATTAAAATCTAAAGAACCCATCGCCTCCAAGATCTTTACAAAAAGTTAAATGCTAATTGATTATGACAGCTTTGTCTTTATCGTGGGCATCATTCCCATTCTACCTCGTCAGTATCGCAGCTCAACGATCACTCTATCCCCCATTCCTCTTCCAGCCACGTTCGTACTGTGCTATAATCACAGATGGAATTTATGCACGACTGGCTTTTCCCCCCTCTCCCCATAGTTGATCAAAAGGAGCAGCCTGAAAAAAAAAAGAAACAGAATTTGCTGAAATTCTGATTTCTTTCAGCAGTTTTATAGATTGTATGACTTATCTTTTATTGACGATGCAAGATCTCTGGTCCCAGCATCTGTTCGTTGCATCTGTGGAGAAAGATAAATTCCCTTTTTCTTATGCCACTGAACCAAATTTAAGAGACAGACAACCACACAGGTCTTAAGAGAAAAGGACCGCAGCATACTCCTCTTCCTCATCCTGGCGACCTCTCTCCTGGTCCCTGGGAGGAGCAAGAGGTGTCTCTCCAGCCTGTGGGGTTAGCCAGCGTGAGGACAGAGGCCCTGGAGATGGGCCGCTCAGGCTGGCCCTAGGTGCCTTCCCCAGATGGAGGGCCCAGGGGCTGTTGGTCACGAGCACAACCTTTTGGGAGGCTGCATTGTATACATTAAAAAAAAAAAAATACCCTGCACTTCATTTACAATTTCTCAAACTTAAAGACTTGTGCCTGGTCACCCAGAGACATGATTATACATCACGGAACTTCATTATAATAATGGCTCGGGCACTCCAACTTCTTTCAGACCTCAGCTGTTCGATTCAGCCTCTTCAGCTCCATAACTGTTTATAAGATTAATAGACTCCGATGCATAATTGACTCTCCCACCTCGAGAAGAAAAGAGAGAGCAAGTAATCCCAGCCTTCACCAAAGTCCCAGCCCTACAGGGAGATGGCGAGTGTGTTCGTAGCTGGGTCCCATTGGGGAACAGAGTAGGTTACCCAACAACAGGTGCTCTGGAAGGGTCCCCAGTCCTGTCTTTTCCTGGAGGCCTGAGTGGCTGCTGTGACACACAGATGTTGCTGCAGGGACCATGGGCCGTCATTCAGCTCCATGGCAGGCAGCAAAGCCTGGGTGGAAGCAACAAGAATCCCAAGGAGGAAGGAAGGGGAAGGAAAGGGAAGTGGGTTCATAGACTGGACAGTCTGTATTGGGGGAGCTCAGAGTAAGAGGGATGCCTGGGGCTGCTGGTTCCCTTTCTGGGGTCACACAATGTTGTACCAGGACTTGCTGAGGGACGCCCTTGGGCAGGACGTGGGATCCTCCTTTCAAAGCACGCAGGAGCTAGAGAGGATGGTAGGGCCCATCTTCCTAAGTGCCCACGGATTTGGAGCCTGGTTGCCACTGGCATGGACCTCGGAGAGTCAGGAAATGCTTCCTGACAGAGCTGGAGGTTAAAGGGAACACAGGCCGTGGATGAGTGGATGGGGGGAAGCCCTGGTGACCCGATGGGCAGGGCTGGAGCTGGGCTCAGAGGCAGGAGAGCAGACTTGCAGGGGCACCAAGAGGCACCTGGACCAAGGAGGCCTGGGTCGCACCAGGACCCAAACAGCTGGGCCCGGTCGCCGTGGCAGGACGGGCACCTGCAGAGCTGCAGGCAGAGCCAGCACGGGGCAGGACTTGGCTGCTCAGTGATGGTGGGAAGAGGAAGGGAGTCTCACCCCAAGATGGAAATGGGAAGTTCCATTGCTAGCAGCTCTTACTACTGCTCTCCTTGTCTGACTTGTGCCTCTTCTCTTCTCTTGCCTTATTTTCACGTTCCAGAGAGATACCAGGTGGCTGGCAGTCTTACTGAAGAAGGAGGAAGGAAGGGGAGGAGAGGAGAGAAGAGGAGAGGACAGGAGAGGACAGGAGAGAAGGAAGGAAGGAAGAAGACAAAAAACCAAAACCACAACCACAACCACAAGAGCCAGCGCAAACGAGGAGCCTGGAGTAGAGGGAGGGCCATCCTACCCCTGAATGCCAGGGAGCTGGCTCTGCTCTTCGAGAGGAGGCTGGACTGCTCTTTCCTCGCCGGCTGTGCTCCGGTCTCTGCCGTAGATAACGGCCCTGCACCTGGACTCAGGGCCCCCCTCTCCCCCAGCCCCCGAAGGCCCACCGCGGGTTGCCAAGATAAGTCTTATCTGGGACTCGGTTTCCTGACCACCAAGTGACCCCGGGGTGAACAAGGCCCACCAGGCTCATGGTAACGTGGCCGTAACCCACACAGTTGCTTGGGGGAAACTGGCCCAAAGGAATAAAACCACAACACGGGCTCGTAAGCTTGGTTGTTGGGTAGACGTGAACTCGCTCTCCTGTTCGTCTCCGGGAGACACAGCCTACTTTCTAAGCTGCACTTTACCGCATCGATTTAAAGGTACCAATGTACGTGTACAGTCCGATCCTTAGCGTGAAGACCCCGCCCTGCCTTGGAAACTCCGCATTTAATCTCTCCTGTCACTTTCAGGGATGAAGAAGCAGGCCCGATGGAGAAGGACCAGCATCAGTTTATTGACTTCTGAGAACTATTCACCTTTTGCAGAGAAGGGAAAAACCCCTCCTCGTATCTAGGGCCTGCTGGGTGCTAATTTGACATGGCAATGAGATAAAAGTTGGGCTCGGGCTGCCGTCAACCTCACCGGATCGGAATGCCGTCTACTTAGCATAGGAGTCAAACAATTCCCTGGCAATAGATTGCTTTCCACTTGTAGGTCTACTAAATAAATAGAAAAGTAATTAACAGTGTGCTATGGCAGATGTATCGGGGGAATTTCATTAGAGCAGAAGAACGGAGGGAATCAAGGAGCCACTTTGTATCCCACCATCCGGGGAAGCTTTCCTGCCGTCTCTAGGATGGACGTGTGATTTCTGCTTCTCTGCAAAACAGACATTTCTGAATCTCCTATGATCTCTTCACGCCGATCCATGGGAAAAGAAAGAAAAAGAAACCCATTAAGTGCCTGAGATCAGTCCACAAATAAAGAATTCCTCGCATTTTTCCATTTAGTTATTTTGTCCCTGAAACCCGTGGATGGTTCTCTCCCTTTTGTTGTATTTTTTTTCTTTCCTTTTCAGTTTGCTCAATTATTAAATATCTGAATTTTGAAATGCTCACTGAATGTCTCATTATTATTATTCCTCCCTCCCTTTGGAAAATAAGTGGCTTTCTGTCATTTATAACAGCAGGAAGAAATGAAATTTCATAAGAAGGAAATTTATGCTGTTGGAAGAAGAAAAGACGTCGAAGGCATTTATTTTTAACCGGCTTTTAAAAAATATATTTGAAAGTACTAAATTCAATTTCACATGTCCAGAATGGCATAACCTAATTTTAGCATATTAATTAACAATAAAAGTAGTGTTTTGCCTCATACAAAGAAATGAAATAATTAACTTACTGAGGAAATGGGGTCATATGATTTTACTTTGGGAGGGTAATGAATGACATTGAGTAACGGTAGCAGAAAGGTTTTGTGCAAAGTAACTCTGGCTGTGGAGCCTGTTTGGAATTCTTTGTGAAACACCCAACGGCCAACAGTTTCCTCTGTCTCCAAAGGTTACCTGTCTGGACCCCGGCTAGGCCTCATACACTTCAGTGAGGCGGGCTGGGGTTCCTCAGAAGGAATGCAGGGGGCACGCAAGCATTTGGCGACTTTCAAGGAGGCCTCGAGTGTCCCAGAGCTCCCTGAGTCAGTAAACACTAAGGTGCTTTGTGCTTGCAGAAGAAATTCCAGCGTTTTTGTATTTTACATATTTGGACCTTTGAACTTGGAATATTTTGTCACACTTCACATAGCTTCATTCCCTGGGGGGAGAAAAAACTAGTCTTTCAAGTGGTTATTATAAAGCTAAGTGCATAAATATGCATGAGAGGTCATTATTACCACAAGATGATACTTAAAAGGTTCAAGTGTCTCTTACTAAGATTTTTCAACTTGTTCGGTGACAGTAAATCAAAGTCTCCAGTTTTTGGTTGCTGAACTTTGCCTTTGATTGTTCTTCCAAAGTTTTCCAGAAAATGGCTTCAGAGCCCTAACTGGCACTCATTTGTTCATTCATTCATTCATTTGACAGATATTTAATGAGATAGCTAATGACCTGTGTCCATATTTTATGCAGAACCTTTAAAACAAGGTGGCCGGGTCTCTGAAGGTTGAGACAAAGAATTTCTAGATTTTTGGAGCTGGAACTAAGGCCCCGAGAGGCCAAATGTCTTGTGCCATATCATGTTGCATCATACAGTCAAGACTGGAAATCAGATCTGACCCCCAGGCCAGGCCCCTGACTGATGAGTCAGGGCCTCTGGAAGGCTCAGGGGCCCCAAGTATTGAATCATCCTAGGGAACACGGTAATGAAGAATTGCATTTGGACACATTCCTTACTTCTAGAACTTGATATTTCAATGGAGAAATATTATATAGTGGTATCATAGCTTAAAAGCTCTGAAACACGACATTCCCATTCAAAATTAACTTCAGGTCAACCCTAGGCTTGCAGCACATTCCCACTTGGGGAGGATAAAATTTTCATCTTTAGGCTTAATTATCCATGCAGCGCCATTCTCTGTGGGGAAGTGTGAAAAGGCCAAGGACGCAAAATGGAGCCAGAAAGAAGACAGCGCTCCTACCAGCAGCCTTGTTTCTTCCTTCTCTGTGGGAGGGAGTATGGCTCAAGTAGTCCATTGGCAATGACAACAATTTTTCATCCCAAATTAACAAAGAAAACGCAATTTACAAGCAGTTTACAGAAGCAGTGCTTCCTTACAGATTCACTCCTGGGCTCTCCCCAGTGTCCGATTTACAGGCCAAATCTTTGGAAAGGGAAGCAGGTGGATGGAACCAGGGTGGCAGAGGCATTCTCGCTTTCGTGTAGAATCACGGCACGACGGAAGCACCTCCATCAAGCCCCCTCAGCTTGCCCTGAATCCGGAGGTTGACCTTGTGTGGAGGTTGGAGGCAAGACCTTTCCAATGGGGGCCGAGCTGGCAATGAGTGCACACCTCAACCACGGAGCTCTGGGGGGATGCACTGTCTGTGTCACCAAACTGATGCTTTCCAGTGTCAGGTGCCCCACGCACTCACCTGTCGTTACCCAATGCTGGCATGTGTCCATACCCATGTCCATCCTGCCTGTCTCTGGTGAGGCACATCATCTTTGTGCAGAGCACAAAGGCTCAGCAACCTCAAGTCCACACCTGGTGACGTCCTCCTCACCCTGGCTCCTGGGACCATCGAGGCTGGAGGAGATGCAGCAGTAGGTCTGTTGGCCTCTGGGAGGTGCCCAGCCAAGGCCTCCCCTCTAGGCTCAGCCTTCTAAAGACCCGAAGGGAAGACGCCTTCTGTGTGTTTGAACTTGGTCATCCTCCAAATACCCAAGAATCGTTTGTCTTGTTTGCAGAGCATTTCTGTATATCCTTTTACTCTTTTGTTGTTTTCTTTTCCTGGGTTGCTCTTCTGTTAAGAGATTTATTAAAGGTGGCAATTTGTATAATAAAATTTCTGTCTGTACTGTTTTCTTCCTCTTACGTTTTGATTTGAGTTTCAGAAGGACATGCTTTTTCTTTTTCAACTCCCTTATGAATTCATTATTTTTTAAAGATTTATTTATGTATTTGAGAGAGAGAGAAAGAGAGAGAGAACAAGAGAGCTTGGAGCACGAGCTGGCAGTGGGCCAGAGGAAGAAGGAGCAGCAGGCTCCACACTCAGCGGACCCGGGGGCTCCATCCCAGGACCCCAAGATCATGACCTGAGCCGAAGGCAGATGCTTCACCTACTGAGCCACCGGCACCCCTCAATTCATTATTTTTATCCACCTTAGAAACCCAAGAAGTTTGCTAACAAACAATGATCAAAATGTCCCAAACCCAGCCTTTTTCTTTCCATTTATTTATTTATTTATTTATTTATGATTTACTTATTTATTTATTTATGATAGACATAGAGAGAGAGAGAGGCAGAGACACAGGAGGAGGGAGAAGCAGGCTCCATGCTGGGACCCCCACGCGGGACTGGATCCTGGGACTCCAGAATCACACCCTGGGCCAAAGGCAGGCACTAAACCGCTGAGCCACCCAGGGATTCCCCCTTTTTCTTTCCTTTTAAATTACTTCCACAGTCTGCCCTTCCAAAGCCCAGGACAGCAGGCAGTCAGGTGAGACCTCACACCCTTCACAAACGCCTTGCAAGCCTGCAGGTAGGTGTAGGTCAGTGTCAGGCGGGGACAGTAGATGTATTTATTCACCCCTGTTGCTCACTGAACGCGTCCCCCTCTGCCTGCCCCACAGTCTACCGTGGGGTTCAAGCTGTCCACCCAGCCGGCACTGGCTGAGCTCCCCTGCGGCGCCAGGCTCCGGGCTAAACCGCTGGTCTCTGAGCTCCCTCGCTGCTTCTCAGCTTCCCGGCTTCCTTTCCATCCCTTGGGAGTCCTCCCCGCTCCTGCGCCCCGAGGTGCCCACACAGAACATAATACCCCATGACAGGATGTCTTTCCATGTGCAAACCAAAATAGCACGAGCCTCCGCGGGGCCGTCTCCCTCTCTAAACTTGCACAGACACAGCGTCTGGCCTCACCTCTCACACGTCGTGGTCGCCCCGTGGCACGCGTTGTGCAGTACGGTTATGGATCCGAGCTGACTGTTTGGGCTCCTTTATTCGCGAGCTCTGAGGCCATTCAAATGTTTCCTCCTCACCACTATTGGAACTGCCTCCCCAGGGGGGGCATCAGATGCTGATGTTTTGCGATCCACTTTCCTTCTGCCAACAAAGATGTTGAAGAAACCATACCCAGGCTTGGAAAGGGGGCTCCTTTGCATTGGAGAGAGGAAACAGTTCAGGTGGTCTCATTTTATTTATTTTTATTTATTATTTTACGATTTTATTTATTTATTCATGAGAGAGAGAGAGAGAGAGAGAGGCAGAGACACAGGCAGAGGGAGAAGCAGGCTCCACGCAGGGAGCCTGATGTGGGACTCGATCCCAGGTCTCCGGGATCATTCCCTGGGCTGAAGGCAGGCGCTAAACCACTGAGCCACCCAGGTGGTCTCATTTTAAATAACGGGATGTCCTCCTGAAAACACATAGAGCTGGATGAGACCTGAGAGATCTCCTGGTCCACTCCCTTCCTTTTGTGAACTGAGAAATCGAGGTTCAGAGCAGCCAAGTGACTCTCCTGGTGCCTGAGTCAGGATTGGCATCCTGGCCTCTTGGCTCAATTTTAAGATTATCTTGTGTTAAGTAAAAATATATGTGTAATGAATGCACAAAAGCAACTGCTAATGCCACATCAAATCACATGCATGTTGGTGCTCTGTGGCCTGCACCTGGACTACTGCTTCAAGGGCTCATGCATCTCTGAGTAGCCCTTTTTACTTCCTGGGGAGACTCTGAACCCACCAGAACCCCAGGTCTCTCTTCCTAGTATTTGCCTGTCCCTATAATCACTGCATAACAGTGTTACTTTGTCATCGGCGGCCACTCCGCTAACGTTGCATGCCCGCCTGTTTGAAATCCCCTCTTGATCAGGGATTATGTCTTATTTTTGGACAACTCCAATTATTTGAAAATCTTCCTTCTAGTCACACAGATGCTGCCTTCCTTTTGCTGTCCTCACCAGGCCTGTTTTGCCCCACGCCATTGGGAGGGAGGTGGCTGCAAAGCCAGCAGTGCGCTGGGCCTGAAGCAAAGGTGGGAGCTAGTCTTTGGAGTCTCCCCAGCCCCATCCTCCTCCTGCTCCTCGATGGAGCCTCTCCCAGACCCCTGACTGCCCTCATTTCAGTTCCTCATCCTATTTTCACTTTTCACAGAAGCGTTGTCATGAACAACCCGGTGGGTCCGTCCTTTCAGCTTTTCCTCGGCGCCTTCTCTGGGGTGGGACCTCCAGCATCTCCTTCCAGTGTCCTGGATCTGGACCAGGCTCAGTTTGATGCTCCCCAAGTCAGGAGTGTTGGGGGCAGATCGTTTGCCCTGCACTTATACAGCCCCATCGTTTAAGGGATGATTCTCAGACTCTTAGCTCTTCTCTCTGGAGTGGCACACGGTACATCTAATCCCTGCTAGTATTTTAAGAGTGTGATGTTATCCATCTTGCATGACCCTGCTCCCCCTCCCATGCCCTGTTTTAGGATGGATATAAATGCATCTGTAGAGACGGTGTCTGACCTGTACATAGACTGGGGGGCATTTTCCTGCCTTGACTACAATATTCTATTTTCACCAGTGCAGACTCTCTACATGGTTTTTGTTTACCAGCATGGCCACATCCCAAGCTTGTGGTGAACTAAATATGTCCACTCCTCTCCCCTCTCATGTGAATTGCTGGTGAGCCTGTTCTCTGTTAGTCTCTACTTATGTCATTTATTTATTTTCAAACTCTTGTGTATCATGGAAATTCATATTTTTACTT